CAAAGAAAGAGCAATAAAAGCACAAAATAACTGCCTATGGACACGTAACAAGAGAAAAAAGGCTAAGAGAAATCACCGACAATCAATTCGATTTGATTGTAATGAGACACACTGACTCCAGCTGGTTGTCACTCCCTATTTATACCTATCCCACCCTTGACGTGACCCAGGTAGTGTGCCCCTCCGAGGGCGTCCCCTCAGGGAACATAATCCCGTCGGTTACTTACGGTAATAAGTGCCGTTTTGCGTATGGTCGCGACAGCAAGGTCAAAAAAAGTTTTGGATTTTTTCAAGTTGCTAAACGTTTTGAAAGTTTTTGAAAAAGTAAGGAATTTTTTTCTGCATTAGCTTATCACTCCGCTGTTCAACTAATACACTTTATTCGGAGATCCAAGGTGCAGAGTATGAGTTTCTAGCTTGTCGTATTTATTGGTATTTCCTGTAAAGGTCAAACACAAACATTACTTTAAAATAGATGAAAAAATACCAGAGTGCTTTTCAAAAAAAAAAAACTTTTTGGGGTCAATAAACGCAAACTGTACTTCTAATTAGATTATTGGCGACTATTAGAAAAGGTAATTGTTAATGCTTTTTTTTCTTAACATTTCTTTACAAGGAGGAGGTGTTCTGTTTTTAGTATCTAGAGGGTCTCTTCTCAGTTGAGAAATGTCAGTTAATTATTCTTGATCAGTTTCTGTGACCAATATTTTGCTCCGTTCTATATTAAAGTTCCACTCTTAAAAAAAGAATAACACAGTCTCTCAGTGATACCAAAACAGAGTCTGCGGCTTATAACGAAATGATTGTATTTTTCAGCCCTTTATGCAAAATTGATGGGTTTGTTACCGGAATTATTTACATGATAGATATTTATACGGAGTATACGAATTATAAAAAATAGCTAGCAAAAAAAGAAACCGGGAAAAATTTTTTGTTGTTCTTAATATGTGCAATTTCTTAGATTATTCTGTTGTTCAATTCAAACTCAATTTTACTCATCATTTACAAAAGCAGAAGAATATTAGGCTTTTAAAAATTATAATTCCTGGTACAGTAATACTAAGCCATCAACTTCATTTTACAACACAAAAGCACTTTTTTATTAGAACATTAGAAACAGCACCTCTCAAATACTCGTTCGTCCTAATAGGTGTAATTTTAAGAGTGCGCCAAAGTTTAACGACACAGCAAGAAATAGCTTTCAAAGTTTTTTTTCCGTCAACACCAACTTTCAACTCAAAAAAGAAGGTGAAGTAACGATTGATTGTTGTGTAAGTAGGGAGAATCTACTGGCACACTGGTTATTTGATTCGCCATTTCAACCACAAAATTTATCTTGATTTAAATAAACCGGGTATGACAAGCATGTCATTTTGTTGCAAATTTTAGAAAAGTCCACGTATATACAAACATTTACAAAACATTTACATGAGTACACAAGCTCAATATTAACTTTGTTTCAAGTTTCTACATGATAGAAGAGCTTTTCGAGCAGTAACTGAAGTAATATTTATGATACAACTTGAAGCTGATTAAATAACTTTATACAAGAAGGCTATTTGAATGTATGTTAAAGAAGGTTTTGGTTTGTACGGTCAGAAAACTAGAAAAAAACTGAGTTCTTTTCACTGCGAGTCGTTGTCTGGCGTAGCATTGTTAGCTTCATACGCAGCTTCTAAAGACCTGAAAGTTAGCAAATGAAAAAACATTTTTTAGCATTATTGTTTTTTGAGCCAGTTGGAACGTGAGTTTACGACAAATCTGCATATTTAGCGCGGTAATTTCACTTAAATTTTCAAAACTTTGGGTGGTTAAACAGCCATATTAGTATTAATAAGTGTTGTTTCTTTACCTTGCTGGTTCATCTGGGACATCAATGTCTTTTGATTTTACTTCGTCATTACTTCCTGTTCTATAACTGTCCGAAATTCCATAAGCACTTCCGACTTGATCTTCTTTTCCTGGATGAGGTTCTTGCGAGCTGTCAAATGGTTTGTTGTTGGCTTCATTATCTAAATTGAAGATTCCTTCCCATATTGATAATAAGAATCATTAAGGTTTACATTTCAATAATTCAACTTACTGCGTTACTTCTATTCTTCTATTCAATTTGGTTTTTTCCTCCTTCCTTCCTCCTTCTTAAAAAAAGGATGAGGGAAAATATGCAGTTGATTATGACGATGAGAAGGAAGAAAAGTGTGTCATGTTCTTTCTACGAACAAGTTAGTAATCAGCAGCAAAGTGAAAAAAATTTTGACAAACGATATAATTAAGTTTAAAAAAGAAGAGCTCCAAGGTCTCACCGTTTGGTTGGCTGCCGCAACCACCCGGAGTTGTTTCTGAAGCTTGGGGAGGTACTGTTGTCGGATCTTCGCTTGGTCCATAACTGCAACCACTACTGCTTGGATAGCTTTGACCGGCAGAGTAGGAATTTTGAGTTCTGTCAGCAGATACGCTTCCAGGTTGACCGTTCGTTTCAAAACCTGAGGGGTTGTTTGTATACTGTTTATTACCAGGATTCAGTTCCGGTAAAGCTCCGTTATCTTTGGAACCAGAATCTGGGGAACTGGGCTGATAATGGCTTCCGGAAGAAAAAGGTTGACTTTCAGTATGCTCGGTTCCGGAAGGATTTGAAACATATCCAGCTCTTGATGGGTATCCTGCGCGGTAGCAAGGTGTTCGGAACAAGCAAGGTCGGTTCAGATACCATCTAGGTTGTCCCCAGGGCATAAAAGGAGGGACGGGATCATAGAAGAAGTCACCATATCCAGGATGCATTGATGGTGGCGGATACCAAAAGCGTTTCACACTGTAACTTTATTTTTGTCAAAATGCATTAATTGTAAAACTGTTTGAAAAAAGATTGCACAGAAATTTATTTTAGAAGGAACTTTGGTCGCAGTCAGTGTAAATTTTTGAAAGCAGTTGCAGCAAGATTTTTCTGAAACCTAACCAACAGTTCGTTTCAAAGCCTAAGGAATACAGTGGTCGCTTACCGATGAACTGCTGCAGACTCTAATAGAGGCATGAAAGTAAGGAACAACTGGAGTTTAAGGAAAAGTAAGAGGAGCATTGTTGTTGTGGTAGTCTTTGATGATAGCGCAGGAGTGTCTGCTTCTCGGTGCAGTTTTATAGTGAAATTTGAGGTCGAAGGAAGAAATTCGCTAAATTTACCGAGTATTTTTGAAGAATTCTTATTCATTTCATTGACTGATGATAATCAACAACGCTTGGTTCGCCCGTTAGCAGTAATTAAAGGGCAAAGAAAACACACATTTTCGATTAATTGTGCTATTTTTAATAAAGTGTGTAATAGGATGATTCACTTATGGTTGCTGAGTCATTTTGAACCAATAATTCATATAATTTCACACCGACTTTTAGTGATGCATTTTTTACCATTGTCAAAAAACTTGTAAGGTTAAGACTATTCACGTCAGTAGCACTACTTTTTGTAAACTTTTGGTATTTGATCGATTGGTCAGAAGAAGAGTTCAAGTGCGGATAGATGCAGAATATGAATTACCCAAAGCTCTTTTACGTTTTCCTCTTTCGCCAAATAGCAAAAAAGTTTTTCTCGTTATAACTTAATATTTTTTGCATTGCTTCGTAAAAAAAAAGCTTACTTTTCTCCTATTTCTAGTCATAAAATCAGTTTTGAATCTCGTTGACTATTTTTAAAACTGAAAAGATACGAGAATATGACTGAAAGTGGACGAAAGAGAATTAAAAATTTTTTATGTAAATTACTCAAAGATAACCAAAGACTTTTTTCACTGCCACTTTTGTAAAGTCTATATAAAAACTGACTTTCAGTAGTAATTTGTTAGTAGATCTTATAACTGTTAAAAAAAAAATTCTGTTTTTTTTTTTTTTTTCACTAAAATACCAATGAGACGAATAAATTACAGCGCATAAGTGAATTACAGTGCAATGATTTATCGTATTTGCAGACGTGTTAGTCTTTGTCAGTGTTTGCTTATCACTTGCAACAGTAGGAAAACACTGATCCCACTAATACTACCAGTTTCCTAACAATACGCTTTACAGAACTTGTTGGATTTATGAAAGGCATTTAAAATGAATAAATTTTTTTTTTTTGCAAAAGTAATTTTACTAATGAAACAGATGAGATTAAAAGAAATAAATGGAATATGCGGTTTTTTTTTTTAAAAATTTTCAAAGTTGCAGCGTGAATCTCGACAGAAGATTGAAAGAATTTAGCTGTAAAGATATCTTTGTTCCTAGATTTGCAGACAGCTTTAATGAATCATTATTATTCCACCAAATTGAACTTCCTATTTTCTCTTCCAATTTATTTTTGCAACAAAGTTATTCTTTCTCAAAATGGTAAAACAGGAAACCATCTTCAACAAGCTCACTTTATTTTTCTTTCATCTACCACTTTGTAGTTTCGTCTATGTACATAGAATATGTGAAAATTAAAACAAGTCATTGCAAGAAATTCATAAAGGTCTTCTCTTAAATGATCTGTAACCCGTATAGCAATCAAACAAAATACATTCAAAACTAGACAGAGTGACTACGGTGTATAAAAAGCACATTAAATCAGCAAAAAATTGAGAAAAAGAAGACATGCAGTGAATTTTTAAAGCAGTTATAACTCAGTTTTAACCTTTTTTTTTAACAAATACCAGGTAGCAACTGTTTATATTTTTTAGCTTGTCTTAAGTATACTTTGACAGATACAGTCTTCAAATAAATTTAAAAATCGCAACAAAAGAGCTACACACAAAATATGTTTTCTTCAACTGACATAATCATCAATAAACTTAAAAATTATACTTGTAGATCATTTTATTGTCACCTTTCACATATCTGAAAATGTACATACAGTACTGAGATAACGGTTGATATCTAACATTGCTTGTATCGTTACCAGTACCAACGGCGATTAACCAGTCGAAAAAATTCTTCATTATAAAAGACAAAATTTTGCCTTAACAAATTTTTGATGGCTTCTGAAATGTTTGCATGCGGCCTCCCCTTACTGTTACCGAGACACTTTGGTTTTGAGCTCCTTTTACGACGGAAGCAGTAAAAATGTTTGTTGTCGTCGTAGACTAACTGATCGCTGGTTATAGTCTGTGGTAAACCCAGAAAGTGTTCTACACGTCGAAGCTGTAAAGTAAGCCACTAGAACAGAAAAATAAAGGTTTAATTCATTTGTTGTCTGAGATACAGTTCATTAAAAATACAACTTTTTTTCAGCTTCGGAAGCGATTTCATGGATTTGATATTCTGCAGCCCTGCTTCACAGAGGTACAGTTCAACAATTTTTTACGGATATAGAACCTACGGTTGTCAGAATAAAACTGACTCAAGTATCAAAATTAGTTGGAGAGCATTATGTTAGGGTAGAAAAACAGCGTACCAGTAATCAAACATTCAATAGTAGATCTTACACGATAGAGAAGTCTGATATGAAACAGAATTTAGCTTAAAAGAAAAAATTTGTACAATTGCACTTTTTTGGCAACCAGATTTAGACTGAATTGTTTAATTAGTTGCAACATTATGCACGAAAAAAAAAGTTTAATAAATTACATAGAAGAATTTTTTTTGCTTTATAATTGAAAACCAGCAGAATTTTCCTGGTGAGAAAAGGGGCTCAAAACTTATAAACAAAAAATTGTTTTTTTTTTTT